CTGCAATTGTACCAAGAAGACAAGCCGAAACTGAAGGTGGAGGGCGGCTGTAAACAGCCTTAAACGGAATCATTTGAATAGCAGAATGATAAGTGGTATTGTACCATGAATTCAGCCTAAGGCAACCAGCGAAACCAATCGTGAGGTTTCTGACCCGCAAAACATCAAAGATAATACTCAAAAGTGCAGTTAGTAACCTCGGTCTGACCATCATATTGAGGGTGATAAATCGAACTCCGACATAATTGTGTACCCTGTATAGTGAAAAAGGTTTCCCAAAAATTACTAAGAAAGATGGGGTCTCTATCACTAACAATTGTACGAGGCATGCTATGCAAGCGAACAACATCTCTAACAAAAACATCAGCAATAATAGTGGCGGAATAAGGATGAGAAAGAGCACTAAAGTGAGCATATTTGGAGAGGTGATCCACAACCACTAAAATTGTAGTTTTCTGTTGCGAAGATGGAAATCCCTCAATAAATTCCATTGATAAATCAAGCCACACATCATCAGGGATTGGCAAGGGGCTAAGATGTCCAGGGGGCAAAATAGCTTTTGTTTTATTGCGTTGACATACATTACATTGAGCAATAAAAGTTGTTGTTGCTCCTTTCATACCAGGCCAATAAAAATTATGATGTAGGCGTTTGTATGTGCGTAAGAACCCAGAATGACCTCCTGTAGGGGTTGCATGAAATTCATGCAATAACTTGGAACACCAAGGAGAAGATGGGACAACCACAATGCGACCTTTATAGTGAAGAATGCCATCAACATAAGAATAGTGCTTCTTAGGCGAAGAAGAGTGTTGAAGACCATTAATAATAGCACGCATTGAATCATCAGAGTGGCACTCACAAATAATATCATCAATACCAGAAAAAATAAGAGAAGATAAAGCAAGAAGACTTGATGGCTCATGGACACAAGATAAGGCATCGGCACATGAGCACAGGATAAGGCATCGGCAGCCTTGTTGTCAAGTCCTGGGCGATAGATAATCTCATAATTATAGCCCAATAATTTAGACAGCCACTATTGTTGTTCAAGGAAAGAAATTTGTTATTCCAAAAATATTTTAAACTTCGATGATCTGTATAAATTTTAAAGTTACGACCTAATAAATAAGGACACCATTTTTGGACCACACAAACAATAGCAAGCATCTCTTTATTATAAATTGAGAGATTCAAATTTTTACCAGAAAGAGTCTTGCTAAAATATGCAATAGGATGACCTCCTTGCATGAGAACAGCGCCTAAACCATTGCCCGAAGCATCACACTCAATAAAAAATTCTTTAAAGAAATCAGGTAACGTTGACACTGAAGTTATTGTTAAGGCCAACTTCAATTTAGAAAAAGCAGCAGCGGCGGCATTATTCCAAACAAAAGAATCTATCTTTAGTAGTTAGGTCAAAGGTGCACTAATTTTGCCATAATTTTTGACAAATTTACAATAATAACCGGTTAAGCCAAGAAACCCACGAAGACCCTTAATAGAGGATGGAACAGGCCACTCGGAAACACTAGCAATTTTGTCATTGTCAACTAACAGACCCTGAGTTGAAATAATATGGCCAAGATACCCAATTGAGCTTTGAGCAAAAGAGCATCTTGATTCTTTCATAAATAGGTGATTAGCACGCAAAATACCAAAAACGATAGATAAATGGTGAATACGATTTGAGAGGGAAGCACTGTACACCAAAATATCATCAAAGAAAACAAGCACAAACTTACGTAAGTAAGAACAAAAGAGATTGTTCATTAAACTTTGGAACGTAGTAGAAGCATTAGAAAGGCCGAATGGCATGACCAAAAATTCATAATGGCTATCATGTGTGCGAAACGTAGTCTTGGGAATATCTGGTTCTTGCACCCGAATTTGATGATATCCAGAACAAAGATCTAACTTAGAAAATATAGTCGCACCATGTAACTCATCAAGTAGCTCTTCTACCACTGGAATAGGGAAGCGATCTTTGATTGTAATTTTATTAAGTGCACGATAATCAACACACATACGCCAGGAACCATCTTTTTTGCGAACCAACAAAACTGGAGACGAATATGGACTTGAGCTATGACAAATAAGGCCAGCCTCTTCTAACTCTAGAATAACTTTTTCGATTTCATCTTTTTAGAAGTAAGAATACCAGTAAAGACGCACATTCACCGGTGAAGACCCAGGTACAAGGGGAATATGATGATCATGAGGCCTGACAGGTGGAAAAATTGTGGGTGTACCAAAAATATTCAAAAATTGAGAAAGAATAGCTGCAACGTCAACATGTACTTTAGAAGGTACAGTTGGAGGTAGTAGAAAATTGGAATTTAATTGTAAAAGGACCCCATGGCGTTCACGCTGTAAAAGACAATGTACCAAGCCATTATCCATAAGCATGATGGTAGGAGAACCATTACCAACCAAGTGAACTCTTGATCAATGACTTGAAATTTCATGGTTAAATTGGGAAAATCCCAAGTAATTAAGCCTAATGATCGTAACAATTGTGCTCCCAAAACCACCTCACAGCCACCAATAGCCAAAAGAAAAAATTCGGTGGAAACTATATAGCCTTGTAAATTAAGTTGAACATCATAACACTTACCCAAGCTATTTAAAAAGCCACCATGACTCGTAAAGACTTGTCCCTTTGAATAGAATAACCACACTGTTTAGCAATAAAGGATGGATAAAATTATGTATGGAACCAAAGTCGATGAGGACTATAATAGGTTGACTTTTTAGAGTGCCGTTGATGCGCATAGTTTTAGGTCGAGCTAACCCCATAAGAGCATGTAATGAAATTTCAGAAGTTGGGGGTTCTGGGACACCACCAACTATGGTTTCAAATTCAAAGTTCTCAACTTCGACCTCCGGTTCACCTTCCAAGAGAGATTATTGTGACTTTTGGCATCAATGACTAGGCTTATAAATCTCATCACAATTAAAACAAAGACCCTTCTCACGTCGTTCCTTCTGTTCAGTCCATGACAAACGTTTAACACCAGTAGGTAAGGATGTTAATTGGTTAACAGGCTTAGGTACATAAGATATGTTAGAAGGCCGTGGAGAAGATGGACGAGAAATAGTCTTGGTCATATTATGTGCAATGGTTGCTATAATTGCATCCTCTTGGCCAAGTGCTAATTCAAAGGTCTCGGTTAGACTCATTGGACGAAGCAAACGAACACCAGCCCTTATGTCGGCACGAAGTCCAGAAAGAAAAATACTAATTTGAAGTGACTCAAGCAAACCTAGAACCATATTAGCAAGTCGCTCAAACTCCGTAATAAATTCACAAACAGTGCCAATCTGAGATGGTTTAGCTAATGAACTACAAGGATCAATGTGTTGTCGAGAACCAAAACGGGTGCATATGGCTTGAGAAAATTACTGCCAAGTCAAAACCCCAAAGGACTGTTTAATCCAGCGGTACCAAGAAATAGCATCGCCTTGAAGGTGCACTGCAGCCAAAGGAACCATCTGTGCATCTAAAACACCATTAAGTTCTTGATATTGTTCAGCCTGAAATAACCATCCTTCAGGATCAGTACCGTTAAATTTTGGAAAATCAATTTGAAGAGTTCGACCCTGAAAATTTGGACCAGCACACTGATCATCGTTGTCGCATTGTATAAGTGAATTAAGATTGATGCCAAGTTAGGGAAGGCAAGCTTCACATTGCCTATCCTGTAACAGTGCTTGGATATTTTGAAGAATGGTATTATTGGTTTGTCTATCACGTATCAACTCTAGTATATTGGTAGACATCACGTCCATCCTAGTAGTAAGAGCAGCTACTTGTTCTTCAAGTCCGTAAATAGTCATGTTGATGATGATGAATGGCAAAGTAGGAAGAGATGGAAGCTCAAAGATCGAATTTGTTCTTCGAGTTCCTTAACAGTCATGTTGATGATGATGAATGACAGAGTAGGAAGAGATGGAAGCTCAAAGATCAAATGCTCTGATACTAGATGATAGAGTCCTAGACCCTAAATTTGATCCTTTGATTGGGGATCAGCCACCAACAATCCTTTGAATTGGGGATTAGCCACCTAAACTCTTAATATTATTTAATCTCCTCAAAACAATTACAATAAGCTTCTTTATATAAGAAAAATAACATAGACTTCCTAAATAGTAATTGAAAAGAAGTAAACTTTCTAATATAATTAGACTTCCTAAATAGTAATTGAAAAGAAATAGACTTCGTAATGTAATTGGTTTCCTAACAAAACTAAAGTGAAATCCTTCCAGCAAGTTTATCGACTTAAATATATTCACATTTCCCAGCAACATCAAAGAAGGATTACAGTTCGGAATATTTACCATTTGCTCGTTGATAAATTTTTATATACTCAATACATTTTCTTATTATATTGAGATGTAATATATAGATATTGTTTACCTTTTCATTACTTTATTCTTAGGGGTTGTTTGGTGTGTCCTAAATAAGTACACTTTTTGTCTTTTTAGACTAAAAAATTGAAAAAAAAAATATGAATTTTGGGTTAATTTTTTGACTTTTTATGAAAAAATATGCATTAAAAAATTGTATAAATTAGTATGTAAGGAAAAATTAGGATTGAGAGTTGTGCCGTCGTAATTTTTGACTTTTGATGAATAGTGATAATTTTTTAACTTTTTGAATAACTTTTTGACTTTTTGACAGCTTGCCAAACTTGGCCTTAGTATTTTGAATGTTTTGCTTGTGTTAGAAATTCATTTGATTGTATTTTTAATTTTATAAGTTTTAATTTATTAATTATTGATATTCTGTAGTAATGAAGAAAAAACAAGCCCAACCGCGAACCCTATTCGCATAAACCACAACCCGCACTGCCGGCGGTTGCAGGTTCAATTTTTCCCGAATCACAAACATGCAAGCAGGTCCAAACTGCAAACCAATCTGTCCAAGACCGATCCGCGACCACTCCGTATTATGGATTGTTTGATTCATAACTTTTTATCATAGGGTGACATAACTAACAACAAAAAATGACGTAACATAGCTTATGGTGTGCCCCCTTTTAAGGTGTACACCATAGATTTCTCCTGGAAATCATCTTGATTCTGAAATATTCAGCTTACATAAACAAAACTGTAGGAGAATTGAGATAAAATGCCTAACAGAAATATTAATTCTGGATTTCCTAATAACCATTTTCTATGAATTATGGTGCAAAATAAGTTCCATATCATTATGAACACATAAAAGGAACATAAAGAACAAACTTGCTTTGCTATATCCATACTTTCTGTGTGGATGTGTATGCACCTATATATATAACATCTAATGGGATATGTATATATATTTAGTTATGTCAATTGACCTTTTTCCTTTCGCCTCCATGAGGAGCAGCTACTTTATGCTTCATCACGTCATTGCTGCAGACCCTTTCGCTTCATCCCTCTTTTTCCCTCCGTAGCATAAAGGCGAGCAATGTGATTTTTTCCCTTGAGGTGTTGCTCGAGTGCATCTTCATTCATGCACCAAATTTGACACAGTTGACACCATGGACGCTCAGCCTCTTTCTCTCTCTCTTTTTTAGTGCCAAATTCCAACTCTTGTAGTTTAGCTCGATGCTTTTGACCTTTCAAGTGCATTTCAAGCCCGTCATTGTTTGTGCACCAAATTTGACAAAGTTTGCAATGTGGGTCATCTTTCTCTCTACCATCTCTCTTGCTCAGCTGCAACCACTGAAGTTTAGCTTTGTGCTTGTGACCTTTCAAGTGCTGTTTGAGAGTCACGGTGCCTGAGCAGGGCACTTGGCAGACCTTGCAAAAGAAATGGCCTTCTTGATCTACAGTTACATAATTGTTGTGAGATGGCCGTGGCTGTCGAGGTGGCAGGCATTGGAGGCTGCTGCTAGTTGCCCTTCTCTTACTGCCGGACAGACTTGGCTGAGGAATCAGCCTAGGCTTTGCCAATGAACTTGGGCTCGGAATTTGAATTGGTGCCGGCAATGGCCATGGATTTGGGGGTGGATTTGAACTTGACACCCGATACAAGGGAATGGGAACCAGAGCCTGGCTTGGACTTGAAATCAAACTCAGCCCTGGCCTTGGAAATTGATTTGGTGTTTGCACATGATCATACAATGAAGTTGGAACTAGACTCATACTTGAGCCTAGAATCGAACTTGCCCTCGGGCTTGGACCAGAAGATGGGACCTGAAATGAGGAATGTTATAGTTGACATTGACAAACAAAAGAGAATGGCATTCAGCATTGGTTAGGCAGTGAATGAAACCCTATCGAATAAGAAACTAAATAGTAACAAGTACATAGAAGACTAGAAAAGCCCTTTTCTCCATAAATAATGTTTTAATATCGTATCAAAATATCACGAGACTGCTCGAACATTCTTCAGCCATGCCAGTGAGTACATGTCAAGAATGTTGCAGCACCACATTGACAATTTTCATACTTATTTCATAGTCAAGCGGAGAAGAATGATTCATGTAACCGACCCTATTTGATGGGACTTAAGGCTTGGTTTGGTTTATTTTGTTTGGTTAAGTAAAGAATGATGACGACTATGTAAAGAATGTCTATATTTTGCGAGAGAGACATGGACACAAATCTGATATTTCATAGGAAGAAACAAACTTAACAAATTAGCTGCTATGCAACAATTCCTAGTACACATTTTGGGGTCACGCAAAGGTGTTTGTTACCCATTAGAGCCACGATAGTTCCTACATATGCTTACACGAACATGTCAACTGTGCACTTGCGTTCACGGATAGTTTGAACAAGAAGTACATAATCCCTTATAGACTTCTACAAAAATGTTTGTCGCAAATGACATAAAAGAAAATTGCATTTTTCTCTTCCAAACTAACTAGCTAGTTAGAAATTAGTACAACAGATTCTCCTTAATTTTGTCACAATCATTTAAGGTTAACAAATAGCTAGCATCAATGAATAGGCGTATATGCATTACAACATATAGAAAAAGTCTTCGACAAGAAAACATGATAAATATCAATCAGAAGCAACCAAACGTTACACTACTCACACCGCTGATATAGCTACTTCAAATGAAATTAAATTGATTCATTAGGTAATAATCTTTAAGATCTCTCTAAGGTCTTTTGTAGTTTACTGGGCCAAGTACAAATTTTTCTGGTGGAAGGTAGTTCCCCTGGTGAAAGAAGAAGTGGTTTTACTGTAACTTTTAGTCCATTTCAACCTTAACCTTTCAACCTACTACTGTGGAAACAGAGGAGAAAGTAAAAGAAAAGACAAGTAAAGAAAAATTCCAGTTACCTGGTAGTTCGCAAGTTTCTCCTTTTGACATGATTTTTGCTCGCTTCGCATAAAAATTCCAATTTCAATATCAATCACAGATTTGTGGGGGCTTCTTTATATGAGAAGAAACAAATTTTGGACACACAACTGACTCCAGTATAACAATCTCAATTTCCCCTGCACTCATACTCGAAACCTAATCTAACTATAAGCCAGTATGGGCAAGTAAACTATTAGCTTGAGGCATCTCCAAAGAAGGTATTAATTGTCAATCAACAAAAAATAATTTCACTGAACTATTGTCTTGCTACACAGGATCAACCACTTGCTAGCAGTTTATATCAGGATGCAATATGAGAATGACACAAACTTAAGTCAACTCAACAAAACCTTAAATCAAATACTTGGGTTGGCTACATCAGTCCTTTCTTCTCCAATCAGAATCATCAAATTTAGAACACATGATACCATCCTGAAGCACCAAATTTCAGACAGACGCCCCAAGATTTGTGTTCGTAACTTATTGTAGGGGCAATATAAAGAATCTCTCCTGAAATTTCTGAAATAACACTGGCCTTAAATTGAGGTTGCTTAAACAACACTACCTTCCTCTACCTTTACAATAAACACCAAAACACCTCCCTTCTTTTAACTTTTCATGTAAAAAATTGCAGTTGATTCTTATTTTTATTTCAGTATATCAACCTGAAAATCATCAGGCTTTTCAGCACAAGCCATTTCGATTACAATTAGTCCAGGGACACAGAACTGGACACAAAAACATACACGAATGGACTAGATTTTCTAGAAGTGAGCCCCACCAATCTTGTAAAAATCCTATTCATTCATGTAATTTTGTGTCCAATTATGTGTTTGGTTTACGTGTTCCTAACTTCCTAGCATTATTACTCAACTAATGACTATGTTGAAATTGGAATGCATTTGAAAAATAGAAATCTCTTACCGTAACATGGCCGTTAATAGAAATCACAATGTCCAAATCAAATGACATCTTGTAGAAAGAAAGGACAAAGTCTCACCTGCAAAGGCATTAGGTCTTCCATAGAGGCATCAAAGTGTGATCGCAAACTTGCTAGCTTCTTCCTATATGCCATCTCCCTTCGGATTGCAAGCTCCACTGACATCACATTCTCCCTCCTCGCTTCAGCCATTGCCCCAAGAACTGCTTTCCCTGCAATCTACAGCATGCAATTTCCCAAAAATACAAACTCTTAAAACAATGGTGCTTGAAAACAGTCCCAAAAATGATAAACACAAGTTAACAGGACTGGCCTAGTAGGCCATGTGATTCTACTTGGTTTCGCAGGGTTCAGTCCTACTGTTCTCTAGCAGAACCAAGGTTGAGGGGCTGCTAGAGATGAACATTTACAAGTAAATGGCTTAGACTTCCCAAAAAGAAAGGTAAACTATATATACATCTCTTGAGATTTGCTTAAAGTACAAATTGCCCCTTGTAGTTCTAGAAATTACATCTCGCCCCTTCAAATTACATAACAAATCACCCATTTTATTAATATATCATTAAATCAATTAATAGTTTTTAATGGTCTCATAAACATATTTCAATTAACAATTCTGGTAATTTTATTGTTACACACAAGAGTAGTTAGAAATTTTATTTTATTTTTGTTAATTCTATTAAATAAAATATTCTGATAAGGTGGTATTTGTAATTTTCAGAACCACATAGGGCTATCCGCATTATAAACAAACCTCAGAGAATATTTGTAATTTATCCAAAAAAGAAACTATAATTAAGGTTGTGTTTGGATGTGGATTTGTGGAGGAATTTGTGGAGGAGGGAAACAAAAAGGAAAGGAAAAAGAGAATGAAATAGAAGCTGAAAAAATTTCAAAAATGAAAAACCCCTTCCCTTTTCTTTTCACTCCAAAAATCCCTTAACAAATCAAAGATCCAAACACAGTATAAGAGAACACATCTAATTGTTAATTAAGAAACACAAACACCATTAATAATTAAAAAATTTAAAATAAAATAAAAAATGATTGACCCACGGCAATGAAAGAGAAAAAAACTAACCAAACCAAACCAAACCAATGATGAGATCAGCAAAAACCAATGCATCAACTACAGAATAAAATTAATTTCTATCCCACCCATATCAGTCAAGCTTCAATAGAATACTTTCAATGAATAACTAACAACAGCAATAATAATTATCATAATAGGCGAAAATGCAAAGAAATCATCATAGATACAAACCAAGCATAGTGCATCAGCTCTATGTAGTGTTTATACATAGATATTAGGGTGATCTATACACATCTATTTACACATATCCATTTTGTATAAATAATATACAGACATAAAACGAACGAGAGAGAGATTGGAGATGCTTACCGTGTTGAGAATGGAGAATGAGTAAGAGCGACGATTACAGAGGAAAAGTAAAGAGTGTTTACTTGAATGGGCAATGTGGGTTTACAGAATGGGGTCTAGGGTTTGTACATTTTGTTACCAAAATGGCAAGAGCTAGAGAGAGAGTAATGCGCAAATGGCAGGACTGTCAGGACAAGAGGTAGGAAAATAGTCCGGAGTACCAGAGTGTCACACCGATCACCATATATTTGTATCTTCATATTCTTCAAGGCATTTTTGGGCATTGGGTTTAGTTTTTTTATTTTTATCATTGGGTCCAGTTTGGCTCATTGGGTTCATTTTTGGACATTTTTTTTTTTATAATCGAATTGTTTATATTTTAAGGTTGGTTATATATATTATTTTTGTTAAAAATCACATCAATCAGATAACGGATATTATATATTCGGATCATTTTTTAGGAACCATTAGCTATTTGACCGTTCATTATTTTCAAACAAAAGTGATCCGAATACATCATATCGTTATCCGATTGATGTGATTTTTTTACAGAAATAATGTACTCAATAAACTCTAAAATGTAAACGGTTCTGATTATTGAAAAGGAACCCAAAAGTGGCCCCAATGGGCTGAACTAGATCGAACTGTCCCAAATCTAAATTAGAGACGGTCCGGACCCATTCTTCAATCACTAAGGCTCGTTTGGCATATTACAGTTTTAGCCTAAAAGTTAAAAAGTTAATAAGAAAATAAAAAAATATATAATCTATATCAAAAAGTTAAACATTCTCTTTTCTCTTTATTTTTGCACATCTTTTCGTAAAAAATTAAAAAGTCATTCCAAACATGCTAGTTTTTTTTATCTCATATTTTAGCCAAAAAACTAAAACTTAATAAAATAACTTATTCCTAAACAAGACCTAAATATAAATAATTAATATTTCACATTCTTCATTGATCATACTATTATAAAGTATTAGATCACCTCACTCTCAACTATTGAATAATCACCAAGAAGCCCATTAACTTTGAGTCTGGATCCTCTGCTGCGTTTTCTTACGGTGCCCTAAAACGACGTCGTTTTGGAGCAAAATTTCAATTTTTTTTTTTTTGGCCTTTTCACATTCCTCTCTTATATTCTTACTCCCAAATCTGAGAGACGACGACAAAGAATAGAAGACAGCAATAGACGGAAACCGACAACCAATAGTGGCGACGAAGAGTAGCAACGGCGACCCCTACGGCGTCCACGAATCCATTCCCAGATCTAAAATAATCCCCTACTTTTATATTGGCTTTCCCTATTCACCTTTGATTTTCACATTGGATCCTAATTCTTATCCATTCCTTCTTTTCCTTTATCTCTGTCTCTCTATAACTTTCTCTCTCTGTATATTATACAAAAATTCTGCTGTTGTAATACATAGTCCATCTTCAAAGCAAGGAGAGAGTGAAAGAGAGAGAATAAAACCCTTTTCTCCTTAGTGCTATATAGCTGCTTTCTTGTGTTTGAAAGAGGTTAATTATCCTTCAATCTTCTTGTTCATCTTTGAAGCTTCAATTTTTACGTTAAATTAAACATATCGTTGAGCAATGTCAATGTTATGCTGGAGCAACTTATACAACATCATTCTTGTGTTCTTTGATATCTGAAAACCTCTTATTAGTAGGATTTGTTTTTGAAAATTCCTGTCAACCAACCCATATATATATATGTGTGTGTGTGTATGTGTGTGTGTGTGTTTGTTAGGAGCAAATAATAAGAGAGAACATCATGGATCCTGAATAAAGCTATTGTTTGTTCTGATTTTCCCCCTCTCATTACTTCATTTTAGTCTTTGCTAGTCATGTTCTTCTATCCCCCAAACGAACCCAAAACAGAAAGAAGAAGGAAAAAAAAGAAAGAAAAAGGGTACACTCAGGGTATACGAATCACTCATTTTGATGAAGAGATTGAATGCTTGAAACCCTAGAAATTTACAAATCTTTGTCAAGCACAGAACAGGGTATACAAATCTTCCTTCTTCTCCTCTTTCTCTTCATCCATGCTTTTTTCTTCTTCTCATCTTTCTCTTCTTTGGTTTTGTGTGTGTGTGTGTGTGTGTGTTTTTTGTTGAAATTTTGCCCTAAAACGACGTCGTTTTTGGGGAGTATCCACCACAAGGAAACGCAGTAGAAGATTCAGACTCATTAACTTTGGCCTCAATGTAGGTCTGTTTTGTCAAGGTCAATTTTGTCATTAACATTTAGGTAAGGGGTATTATTGTCACTCAAATGCAATAAAAAGGAGGTCCTATTCCACCCCTCTCCGAAAAAAATCCATAAAATAAATAAATAAACAAGCTCCCAACCCAATTAGGGGTGATAGATGAACTGAATGAGTTGAATAATTAATTGTTTAAGTTTGATTTAATAAGTTTCAAAATTTGTTCATGCTCAGTTCATTAAATTTTCGTGCTGATCTCAAACGAACTTTTATCGAGTCAAGCTCGAGTAGTTTAATATTCTATGTAATTTTAAGTTTATTGAACCGAGTCAAACAAGCAATTGACTGTTCAAACTTGGTTTTGAAAACCTTAATGAGTTTTAAAATATGTTCAAATTTGACTTATTTATCTAACGAATTGAGCTCGAATGAGCTTTTATAAGGGGTATTATTGTCACTCAAATGCAATAAAAAGGAGGTCCCATTCCACCCCCCTTCCAAAAAAAACCATAAAATAAATAAATAAACAAGCTCCCAACCCAATAAGGGGTGATAGATGAACTGAATGAGTTGAATAATCAATTGTTTAAGTTTGATTTAATAAGTTTCAAAATTTGTTCATGCTCAGTTCATTAAATTTTCGTGCTGATCTCAAACGAACTTTTATCGAGTCAAGCTCGAGTAGTTTAATATTCTATGTAATTTTAAGTTTATTGAACCGAGTCAAACAAGCAATTGACTGTTCAAACTTGGTTTTGAAAACCTTAATGAGTTTTAAAATATGTTCAAATTTGACTTATTTATCTAACGAATTGAGCTCGAATGAGCTTTTAAAAAGCTAAACACGAGATCAAACTCGAACTGTATAATTCGTTTATCACCCCTGAACCCAATTAAACCTCCATTCCATAAGAAGTATTTGGTAGGTGTGACTTATCATGTAAGTGTGTATGTCCTGTGAGTGTGTGTCCATGTTATAATTTGTTTAAAATATAAGAGATAGGATAAGGTAAATTAGTAACATGATCTAATACACTTAATAAAGCATACAACATAGATATAGGTCGTACTTGTATGATAATTCTTTCCATTCGAGTCTCCAGATGGTTGGTAGGTCAGTATTTTTTTTATAAATTAATAATTTAAATTTTGCCAATTTATTTACAAATTTTATATTTGATCTAAGTAAAAAATCCAATTCAATATTTAATGAATTTGAGAGGGTAATTTATATGAAAATTGGGCCGAGCCGGGTAATGGGCCGTTATGGGCCACAGTGCGAAGGGTTGAGTAAAAAGGCCATGAAGTTACTCCGGCCCAAGAGAGGTGTAAAGTTACTCCGATCCGCAAGAGGTGTAAAGTTACTCCGGTCCGCGAGAGACCTGAAGTTACTCCGGTCCCAAAGAGCTTACGGTAAGTTTGGTCGTCACTCATAAAGTTATCCCAGTTTGGACCGGAGTATTGGTTATTCCGGTCTAGACATACCGTGGTTAGCATTAAGAAGAGCCAAGGTAAGAGCAGTGAATGGAAAAGCCGAGCTAATGTTATCTCGGTCTAGTCTGTGGCTTAGCATAGCCATGCTTACCTCGGTCATGTTGAAGTCTGACCATGGTAGAACCATCTCACTTGGTTTATGCAGTGAGAGGGGTGTTGAAGGATAAGCATTATCTTTCAGGAGTATGAATCCTAGGAGGACTCTACATGGAGGAGTAAAAGTCCTACTAGGATTGTGCCACGCGGAACCTATAAAAGCTTACAACATCACCTATGGAGAGGTAATACAACTTTGATTCCTGAATATATAGAGCTTTGGTCTACTTGTCTATTTCGCTAACTTAGGCATCGGAGAGGTTTCCGGCACACACCCGCCGGCTAGCTCACATTTGTGTTTTCAGGGAGTAAAGCGACGACGTTTGGAGGAGCGCAGACTTGATCAACAGGATTATACGATAAGGTTTATTTCTTTCTCGTACAATTGGCGCCGTCTGTGGGAATTCAGACAAGAATAAAACCTCTTGATCAAGCTTTTCCTCTTTAGAATCAATGGCGCACAACGAAGATTTGCCGCAATCCGCCATTGATGGACAAACCCCAGAAGGAGGTGGGAGACGTGAAGGTTTGCCTCCTGTCCCTCCCATGGCGGACTTGGAGCCCCAACAATATAACCCCAGGAGGGATGCTAAGGGGAGGCGGAATAACAGCCCTCGTCGCTCTCGTTCACAAAGTCCAGACAGACAAAGGCGGAGGATTGATTCCCAAATTCTAGAGGACTGCGTGAAGGAGCAAGACGAATTGATACAACGGATGGCGGCGGACATAGAGATTATGAAGCGCCAGATGAAGGGAAAAGGAGTGGCGACAGGAGAGGGGCGCAAAAGCAAGACGCCCCTCGCCACTTAGAAGACCGTGGCAGGCATTCCACACCATCACAAGCAGAGAGTAGAAACCTCAGAACAAGCGATACTCAATCCAGAACCTCCAGGACTCGTTGCTCCAGGTTTGAAAGAATGAGGACTGCGAGGTTATATACTGAGGGAAGCACCTATCGACCCTCACGCACGCACCAGACATCATCCAGGCAGACGGAGTTGCCAAGATCATTCGACTTACGAACCATGCTAGAAGAAAGGACACGATTGAAGGAGGATACTAGGGCGCACGACCCTCGCAGGGTATCTGCCCTTCAGCGGTTAGCTCCTCGGACGCATGGAAGCGTCGAGGTTGGAATGCCATTACCGCGCCCTGCCTATGAACCAACGGACAAAGCATTAGCGAGGCTGCAGACCTCGCCGTTCGTTTCGACAATTGAAAATGCGCCTCTACCTTTAGCCTTCCTTCAGCCCAAATTCACCGCGTACGAGGGGAAGACAGACCTCTACATGCACCTAAGCCACTTCCGCCAGGTTATGGCGGTATATCGGCGAAACGAGGCTTTGATGTGCATCCTCTTCCCATCAAGCCTTGGCGACCTAGGCTTGACTTGGTTCAAAAAACTTCCAGAAGGCAACATAGCTTCCTGGGCGCAATTGGCGGAGGCGTTCGTCA